GAATTATATAGTAAGATATAACTGATAATTGATATCTACCGGGTTGAATTGAAATGGATGGGATAAATGATACCTAACCATTTATTTGTTTTGCAACTTGAATCCTAGAGTTTGATATTTAATGTTTTGGGAAACTAAAAGGGTATTAATTATTAAAGATTAAATATTGAAAATACTAAATGAATTTTGTTAAAATTTTGTATTTAAACAATCCATTCCCATTATCATGAATTTTCATTTTCTTTAATGACTTAATGAAACAATAACATTCAATAGATACAACTTCAATGATTGGGTTCATGTCTTAAGCGACAATCTCGTGAGAGATATGAAATTGTATACACTTAAAGGTCCTAGTCCTAAACTATTTTCTTTGAGCAATTAAACCTAAAGATGATACCTAGTAAAGGCATCACTGTGATGCTTAAGATGCTTCTAACATCAAGCTAGGAATAGTTATTCATGACTTCTAGGAAGTCTTGGATAATTTAAACATATATCTGATGATATAACAGGTCAAACAATATTCCAATAAATAAAGTGATATTTTATTTAAAGCTAGTTTAAACATTGGAATAATGCAAGGCTAAAGAAATCACATTGTGTGATCCAGGAGACCCATGTTTTATGTACTGAACACCTTTAAGCCCAAGAAATCTACTAAGGCCCATATAAATGAATCTTGTTTCTTTTGTGAAGAAACTGAACATTGGAAGAGGATTTACTCCTCTTATTTGGAAAGAAAGTCTAGAAGAGACTAGTACTTCTAGTATCTACTAGATAGAACTCATACTTTTCATATAACACTTAGGTACTTGGTACTTAAATGTTAACCTAATATTTGTAAATGGATTGCAAATATTTACTGAAGAGTACCAGCTGAGCACAATCAAGTTGGAACTACACTCTCGGAGTTTAGTTTATTATTTATGCTTAGAACATAAATTATTTGTAATATAAAACAATATTTGTTTTGGAACAATGTATGTTTTAATTTAGCATGTCTAAATTCATGTCTCAGTTATTTTATTCAAATGTTTGATAATTTACTTAATCGTTTTTCATAATGATAATATTCATATTCTGAAATGATTAACTTCTATTTATGAGACTAGATCTCTTAATAGAAGTATGAAGTAAATATCAACATTCTATAAATAAAATTAAGTTCTATATGCAACCACTTTTGACTTAAACTTGTTTTAAATCAAACTCATATTTGACATTGTTATCTTTATTATATAAATGACATTCACATGTTCCAACTTCAAGAAAGGGATATTTGAAGGAAAATAATGTAGTTTATTTGACATATGTGAACCTTATTTATATGTAAAGGATTCCTAATGATATTTTCACTAAGGTGTAGAGAAAAATAATTAAGGAACTATACACTTTGGTGTATGACTTCCTTTCTAGTGAATGTCTGAGATTAAGCACAAGATACCAAATCAACTTTATTAACAACTACAGTAGTTTTAATTATATTTTACGTGGTAAAGCAAAATTGTGAAATCTTTGTTGAAGGTTTCAAAAGTTGAGATGCAAATCGGTAAGAACCATCTAAGGCCTTAATGAGAATAAAGGATGAATTAAATCTTACTTGGTATGATTTACTTTCTAATCGGTAGAAATATCCTCATTTAATCTTTTTGGGATAATACTTCAATCACTATTAAATTGTATCTTGAATACAAATACCAACTAATAAGTAGATTAAACACTTTATAAGACTTAGTATGGAAATGCTCCATCCTTATCTTACTTAATGTTTTATGGATTTGAAGCTGATGTTGGACTAAAGCTTCTAAACCCAAAATCTACCAAATACATTTTTGTATAATACTCTAAATGTGGCTTAGATTGTTATATGCTAACCCAACAAGAATAGGTTCTTTTATTCTTGTGAAAGCTAAGTTAGTAGAAAGCAAGATTCTAATGACAAAGCAAGTGGGAGGTACATGGAACTTGAAGCAGCTCAAGAACCATAACCTTATGTATTAACTAGTTGACACTAGTTTTAACAAGGATTATTTAAATTGAATAATAGCTATTCACAAACATAAATTGTTCGCAATAATGGTAGAAATCATCTATGACTTGAGAAATGTGGAATTCTCATTGATGAGCTTTTATTGATGGTTTCTGGAAATTCATCAAGTACCAAGATGCTATGTCAGATCTCGAATCTGATAAATAACTTAGAGTCATGAACATGAGATGTAATCTATGTATGAGAATCAAGTATGGGCTTGATTAGAATTTATCCCTATAGCAAGGCTAGAAGGAGAAATGATTCTTCAAGAAAGAATAAATTACACGGATAACCATACACATTTAAAGCAAGACTTGTAGTAAAAGGATTTTCTCATACTCATGTCATTGACTATGGTCCTCATCATACTCATGACATTGACTGTGATCAAACCTTTTTCACAGGTAGCTATGATTAGATCAACAATGATATTATTTGCTATAAATTCATATTCTTAATATGAGATATAGTAAATAGATTTCAAGAAAGACCGTTTTTCTTAATAAACATCTACTGGAAGATATCTATATAGATTAGCCTAGAGGTTTTCTTAATCCAAGTTATCCTAACAAAATATGTAGAACTTGAGATCCACTTGTGAATATAAAGCAAACATCTCAATGTTGCAATCATCATTGTATGTAAAACCACACGGTATGTTTTTACATCAAAATGAAAAAAACATGTGTGTTTACTAAGAACTAGTGGGAGCATAGTAAAATTCCTAATCTTGTATGAATAAAACATAATTAATCATTTGAAATCACATTCTGACCAAGTAAGGTCGTTTTCACCTTGACTCGAAAAGCGTTTCTAAAAAGAAAGACTTAGGAAGGAGAAGATACATTCTTGGAATGTAAAATCTTTAAGGGATAGATAAAATTAATGTTAAAAGTTTCATGTCCTTATACATATATTGGCAATATCTTGAAAGGGATCAAACAACAAGATTCTTTTGGAGAATTCTTGACATTGTCATATGGTGCCATTTTGAGCTAGCCTCAAAAGTACATAGCTCATAGGCTTGAACTAGAAGAAATGATGTATATTCTATTTGCTTGACAAATGAATTCATCATTTACGCCATATTATGCATATGACATGGAATTTGATCATGTTGTAAGCATGTCATAGGATACTAATTGAATACATGGTTAAGTCACTAGATGACTAAGAGAGCATTCTAAGAGTACTTTAGAAGAACTATGAGAATGTATATGAGATAATTAGTTTAGAAATGATCTTTATGGAAAGAGCTACACAAGATGCTAAATTCTAAACATATATAAGTAATTATGAATTGTAATTGGATTTTGACTTCATTATGGAATGAAGAGTAAGTCTTGTTGGAATGAGGTCCAAGAAAAACATAAGATAATATAAATATGATGTTTCCACTCTTGAATTGTTGGCTTCATTATTGCTTCTTAAAACCGTAACCTCCTTAGAGGAGGTTACTCTCTCCATTTTGTTCTTCTTTTCTTCAAGATTACTTGCATCTTCATGCCCTTTTTAAGTTCATATTGGTTATGAACTTAATGCTTAAGGGTTTAAGAGTTTATGGACTAGCATCTATATCAAGTTGAGTCATTGTTGGTGTCTCAAAGGTTCCACATTCTTCATTAACTTCCAAGCCTCCCAAGATAGTCCAAAGAACAACAAATGTTGTTATTTCTTCATCATTTCTATGGTTGGTATTTTATCTTTCGATAACCTGCAAGGAGATCCTTGGTGGGTATAAAATGTTATGTTATGTTCAAAATTTTAAGTCTTCCGTTGTCATATTTTTCTAGTTTATGAAACTATTTTTGAACAAAACCCAACAATACGTCATCACCAATCATCCATCATGCTTGTTTTTTTTTTAACATTTTTGAAATTATGTTATAAACATTTTGTACTCTTTGGGACTATCCCATACTATTTTTGAAGTAACAATTTAATTTACTACTTCAACATCGAAGATAGAATCTATTTTATTGTTTTCAATCTCATCATCCACGAGAAAGGACGGCCGAGTCTCTATACTCCTCCATACGCTATAAGAATTTGATAATTAAGTTTACATTCTATAACACTTGCTCGAAAACAAAGACAAAGACACAATCAATCCAATAGATTGATATGATACAACATTATGGACAAAACACCAATGATTTGTTATTACTCATCCTTACACTTTGATTTTGGTTGATCAAACATTGTAAATTGATTTTGTAAATTGCCCCGTCGATGTTTTATCATAATCTTTTTTTTTCTACTTTAAAAGACAAAGTATTCATGTCATGTTTGTAACCTGAAACAAACGGTACATCCGATTAATCCGATTAATTGGTCAACATTGCAAAACTAAGAGACAAGATGACGTCTTTTATTCCAAAAAAGGGATGGCAAAATAAAATATCTATAGAAATAGTAATGGTTTTCTTGTTATTATTCTCATAAATAAGTGGGAATGACATGGTTTGTGTCTTATAGGGTTGAAACTGACAATTAGTATTAACACGAGGTCTTTTTTGCTTATCTACTAAACTTGAATTTCGAAGAGAGACCCTTGCGATTGCAAAAGGATAAGAGTGCAAATTACCATACTAGCCCCAAACCAGAAAAATCAAGAAAATGAAAAGGAAAAAAGAATAAAAACACATAAGGCATTTCGGTCAATTCACCATCATGTCAGAATAAAATTTAATATAATCCCCAGCAAATGAGGTCGAATTTCTTTTCTCCATTGGGGAGATTAAGAAGAAGAAGAAATTATAGAGAGAGAAACAAAAAGATAAGGTAGAAGAGAGAGAAACCGATCGGAAAATCAAGAAACCTTGAAAAACCGACGAAGTTACGGAATGATTTCTGATTTCAATCAAAGGAGGTGGTGATTACGATAACCCTCCGGAAAAAAAATTCACGATCAGAGAAAAGATACGATCAGCATCTCCGATCCTATTTGATCCACCGGAAAAAAATGGTCATGCGACGAGGCAGCAGAGCGAAGGCCGCCGTCGGAGAACCGATCGGATCGAGACCAGAGGAGATGGTGGCTCAGCAACCGGAGACCAACGAGCCACGGTATCGTGGCGTTCGAAAGAGACCATGGGGTCGATTCGCCGCCGAGATCCGTGACCCATGGAAGAAAGCTCGTGTCTGGTTAGGCACTTTCGATTCCGCCGAAGACGCTGCACGAGCCTACGACGCCGCCGCACGCTCCCTCCGCGGCTCTAAGGCTAAAACCAATTTTCCATTTTTACCGTCGAACGAAATCCACGATCATGCCGCCGATGATCAAACAAAGCACCACCAACAAACTTTCTATCAGTCTCCGCCGACGATGAGTAGTCTGAGCAGCACCGTCGAGTCGACGAGCGGTCCACGGCCGTCGAATCCCGTTAAAACCCACCACCGATTAAAACCGCCGCCGGTTCCCCAAGACGATGACGATTGCCACAGCAATTGCGACTCGTCCTCCTCCGTGGTCGACGATTATTATTATGACGGCGATCTGTCTTCATCTTCCCGGAAACCTTTACCCTTCGATCTCAACCTCCCACCACCGTTGGACGAAATCGGATTCTCTTCTAACCCTAATGATGATTTATACGTCACTGCACTCTGCCTATAAAAATCCCACGATCTTGATCACGATGATGAAGAAATCTACGGGTTGTTCGTAGTTCGTACGATCTTTGTTCCAAAATCTTCTGTTTTTCCAAGAAAAGTCATCATCTTTGGAGGGAGATTTCAAGAAATTTCTGGTAAATTTCTTCAAAAATCTTGATTTGTTTAGATTGCTGTTGTCGATGATGATGATGAAATATGTAGATTAGTGTAATTTGAGGTGACTTTGCGATCTGGGTTCTTCTTCAAATCTGTGATATTGAAGTTTTAGTATCGATCGTCTTGATTTTACAGAAGAATCATGAACTTATAAGGTGTAATTCATGAAAAAAAAAAAAAAAACCAATTTGGATGATGATCTTGATCTTGAGTTTTCTTTTTATCTCCTGATCTTACGATCTTCTCCCTCGCCCAATCTTTCAATTTTTCTGTATAAAATTATAAATAAAGATTCACACAGTTATTGTTCATGGTGTGTTAGATGCAATTCGATTTGGTTTAAGTTGTTGAATAATTTGAAAGGTCAAAATAGCAGGAAAATATGTTAAAACTTGAACTTAAGAACATTCTTATTAACATATATACATTAGGATGAAAAGTTTGATAAATTTTTGGGTGTGATTTCATGTGTTGTTTGATACCACATTGAAACCACTAACTCCGTTTGAAATGACTTCTATTCGGTAGATGCACTTGTTAGATTTAACTCATTTACTCAATCGACAATTATCAAATTATAGTTTTTTGGATTTCAAAATCATTCATTTCTGGAAATTTTCTTCAAATTTGTTTTGTGGTATGTTTTAAACTGAAAATAGATTCGTTTAATTAGTCGAAACACGTACATAACTTAGTTGGTGACTAGTTTTGATTTCATAATTATTGATTTAAAAAACTTATCTATAAGTTTATATTGTGTTTTCATAGTTTCTTTTTAGAGAAAGATAAAGCAACAAAGGAAAAAATTGTTCACCAATGTATATCAAAGAGGGAAGGGACAATGTTTTTTGTTTTTTCCTCTAAACATTTACTCCCAATCTGGAACAAATATATTATAAAAAAATTATATTTCCTTTGAATAGATCTTGTCTATTCACCTCACATTCCAAACCACTCTTATGTATAGACTTGGCTTCTTTTTTCATCAAAATCTTGATGCAATAACTAAAAAGTCTTCTATTTTAACCACTTTTTAGTAGTGAAAAACATTTGTGATAAAACATTTCAAAGGAGTCTTCTCATGTTATATTATTTAACATTTTACATTCATCGATTTTAGAATTGACATCTATATCTGCCTTCTTTTTGAGATGCTTTGTCTCGTCCACGTATTTTACAAAGTATTTGCATGAACCAGATGTTTTTTGGATCAACAAATTGGGTGAGATTTATTCTCATTATAAAACGACTCTTCTATCTCATATTTTATGCACATAATACCGACAAAGTTATAGAACTATCGGTTTTCCTTTTTCCAAATTTTCTTCGATTGAACTTGATAATGGATCAAACTGGTGAACATGCTTTCTTTCTATTTTCATAAGTTATTAATAAATCAAATAAAATATACTTTTAAATCATTTCATCATTTAAAATTAACTTAGATCCATCCATTTTATGGTAACACTCCCATCTATAAAGGTTTGGTTTGAGACCTAAATATGATGGGAATAAAGGCAGATTGGTGGGTGGGTTTGTGCAACAACATTTAGTGTGGTGTAGCTATAATTCACACCTTCTCTCTTTTAATAATTCTGTTTTCCTCTAATTTATCAATTATTTTTGGGGTCCTATTTGCATGCATTTACTTTTACATATGATTTGGTCTATGAAAAAAAATCAGATTTAAATTACGGTATCAAATGAAAAACTTGATAACACTTGACTTGCTTATGACCCGATGGATGATTGATGCGACAACCCATTGTGCCTATTAGCCTAACCAACTCATGTCATTTTGCGTGAGCGTGAATATGTTTTATGATTCATAGTATTCGTAAGTTTATTGCTAACTAATTATTACATTTATAAACATATAGAAAGAAGGCAAAAGCATGTTGCAACAATGCAACACTCAGCTTAAAAAAAAAAAGATAGCAATCAGGATTTATTTGGATGACGACATTCGATATCATGAACTTTCAAACAAAGTATTTCAATAAAATATTAAGTAGTGGATAACATCCCAACAACGAAACACATAATCTAGAACAATACATATATTTCTATATAACACAGAAAATAAAAATACACTAAGAAGATCACTTTTGATGGTTTCATTTTGGGTATGTTTTATACAGAGTTAAACAACATACAAATACACTATTTTATGTTCAATCAAAATACTTTTGTGTTTTTGTATACTGTGAATGTTGACCCTGTAAATTGGTAAAAAAACAAAAAAAAAATAGAAAAAAAAACAAGAATTGGTCGCTTACTACGCCTCAAAACCCTAGAGGTTGACCGACAATGATAGGTGTTTGGAGTTATCAATGGACGTTGACCCATCACATTGAACACCTTTAGGAGGTAGTGGAAGAAACCTTAGACGTGAACCGGTGTCCTGGATATTGAACACGATCATACACTTTTTGTGACATAAATGAATAACAAAGGTAATGTCTCATTTAACGTCTAATGTCTACAAAGACCGTGTTGAATGATCGTGCAAATTCTTGATGTGTTCTTTATTATTCATCGCCTATAAATAGACGGTAAATTGCAACCCTAAGACCTCACCAGAAATCATGCTTACACCATAAACACCGACTTCTTTTGGCGGTTTGTTGCGACCATGGGTGGGGTGATGTTATAAGAGTTTATGCTGGAAATCGATTATGATGTAGATAGCTGAACTAAAAGCATTAACCCATGAGGAGGTTGGGACATTTGCATTGAAGAGCATTGCTAATCCGGTTTCCATGATGTGGCGGTGTTTACGCTCAATATGCCCATTTTGTTGAGGCGTACAAGGGCATGCCAAACGGTGATGAGTACCATTCTCAACAAGTAGCGTTTTACATCATGATTGAGAAACCGTGCCACCAACTCTTTGAAACACTTTAACCCTGCTTGATAATTGCATTTGTACAAAGGTCAATTTTCTTTTAAGGACTGTAACAAAGTTTGATTTGTGTTTCAAAGGATAAAACTAGGTGAATCGCGAAAAATCGTCAACAAACATAAGACATAACTAGGTGAAGTGTAAAAAATCGTAAAAAACATATCATATCCAAAACACGAAAGGTTCGTTTTTCTTTAAGAGGAAAATATAATCTATAACTAATAGAAAGCTCACATGAGGAGCAAGTACTAGGTTTGGATAAAACAGAGGTAACAAATAAATGACTATGAAACATGTCCTATACGGTTGTGCCAGAGTTCATAAGATACACCAAGCTTATTCAACAATGAAATAGTAGACTATGAAACATGTCCTATACGGTTTTTCCATAGTTCATAAGACACATAAAGCTTGTTGGAATTTAGTTGAGCCACTAAAGCTTTATGACCTTGTTCTAGCACACTTATCCATTTCATGTACCTCATTGGTTTGTCGCTTCTGAATAGAAAAGGTATAATAAAAAACAACAACTAGTGAATCATAGGTTAATTAACTTATAGAAAGGATATTCTTGATTAGTTTAGGAGCCACAAGAACTGTAACACCCAGTTTATTAAATAAATAAATAGACAAATTAATGAATGAATAGTAGCCCTAAAATCAATGATAATATAGCAAGGTGTTGGTCTCGAGGAGTTCATTGCTACTATTTTAGAAGTTAGGGGTTAAAAGTGTAAGTTCCAGAGTGGTTTGTAAGTATTTATGAAGGCAGGGACTGCTTGGTAAATTATTAGAACTTAATTTGAAGAGATTTTGGAGGCTAAGGGGCTGAATGGTAATATATGGACTTCAGTTGAAAATAATTTGTAGGGGAGGAGCTGTTTGGTAAGTTTTGGACCTAAAATGAAATGAATTTATGGAATCAGGGGCTAAAGAGTAAATGTTGGATTAAAGTTAAAGAATATCTGGTGAGGAGTGACTGATCTTGTAAAAACGCTCAAATGTTTGAAGGAAGCGCGGATTATACCCGGTGCTCATTTCCCGTCATCTAACCTGTCACCTTGTTACTCCCAAACCCTAACCCTATTTTCACTCAGCTGCCACTCGAGTTCACCAGCCGCCACAACCTCATTTTCCCTATTGTTTGCCGACCAGATGAAGTTCCGAACGACCGATGTCTGCTGCCTCACCATCGAGATGCCATCGTGGCCTTGCTGTCGGTGACGTCATGCACGGACGAAAGAACCACCTTGAGCGATGCCAAGGCTGTCGGAGACGACGTCAGGGCAGTGTTGATGGCGTTCTCGGATGCTCCTCATCCTCTTTCTTCTTCTGTTCCGCCTTCAGCCACGTCGCCGGTGTCGCTAGGGCCGTTGAACGCCGCCGCTCCGAACAAGCTGTGGTGCGATGTTACTGTCGCTCCGACCGCCGCTGCCACCTCAAGGGCAGCCATGTCGGGTGCGTTTCTTGGATTCTACTTGTGTTAGTGTTTGTGTGCTGCTGTTACAAATCTAATGGTCGTGTGTGGGTGTTTTATTCTGCCGAAAATCCACCGCCACCACCGTGAGGTGGTGGCTGCCATCGCTGCACCACCACCAGCCGCCGTATTATGGTGGTTATGTGTGTATGTGTGAGTGTAGTAAGGTGTGTGTTGTTTTTCGGGTTGTTTTGATGAAGTGAGTCAAGATTATAAGCCACCACCATTGGAAATGATGGCTGCCGCCGCCGACCACCACTACCCGAAGTGGCAATGGGTGGTGCCCGGCCTAGTGGAACCTTAATAGACCTAAAAACTTAATTTTGGACTTGGTTGGCTTGTGCTTGGGTTGGAAACCCTAATTAGGGTTTAGAAAACCCTAATTTTGGAAGATGTTAGTTTTGGACTGCTGGGACCCGCGTTTGGACCAGTGGATTGATGTATGGCTTATGCCCAATTACAC